TTGGTAAGGAAAAAGGGTACCAAGTAAACCTTACGGTGAATTAGACCCTGTGCCTGCTGTGGTGTGGTATGTCATGGCAGATACAATTTGAGGGCTTGATACCCCATTATTTCTGTAGGTCAGCATCCCTACTGAACTGTGTTCAGCTGAAGCAACCTGCATTCCAGTGCAGTCTTTCCGTTGACTTGGTAGCACAGTGTATGAGGAAACTCTGAGCTCCTTCAAATTCAAGCTTTCCATGGCCTTTGCAACTGCTATTTGGGGAAAAAAGCTGTATTATTTTCCTAGCACTCTGGAGGGCAAGGCAGATGGAATACAGAAATTTAATTGTTTTTACGTTAGCACTATTATTTTGGAAATGTGGTGAGGTATTTACTGTGTCAGGGAGCAAAAGATCAGACCCATTTCTATCTCAATGAAAAAAACCAACAGAATAACACTGTCTACCTTGTGTGGTAAATAAGTAGCCGTTCTGTGAACAACTGGACATGCTGTGACTGGAAGATGTTTTGCAGAGGGATGAACGCAACTGGTGCAAATGCTTTATTTAAGCGCTTGAAGCTGTTGTCTGTTCGTTTCTCCAAACATTCACTTGTGAAATTGTATTGGTGTTCTGTCCTAGAGTTCAAAGCTCAGCTCTTTCCTATACTTAATGTTTTGTGCATTCACTGTAAATTGCTTATCTCCTTTAACATATCTATGCTATGATATTTCAAACTGCTTCCATCAGAAACCGGAATAAAATGTTTCCAGGTGTTGGTCAGATTTACTGGGCTTGTCTTTGGTTGTCGTGTAATAGGTTTAGTGCATGACTAAAGGATTTTCTTAATTCCATGTAAAATGTTTTATAACACTGTAATGTTAATGTCTCTTATACCTGACAGCATGACAAAAGCAAATTATTACTTATGCAGTGTAGAGATACCAGAGCAGCTGTTGGCTGGTTACAGTACTACTGCTTTTAAACTTTCTCCACATCTGCAAATTGCAAAGTGAATATTTTTGACGGTCTGATTTTTCATTTTAGACACCTAAGAACAGAGAAATTGTCTAAGTCTAAAAAAGGTTGCAGGAGTTGTATAATCTTGATGTTTCTAGTGTGTGGATATATGTATATAGTGTATTCTCTGTATAAAGAGAGACTGAGAGAGAGAACATTAACTGTGATGAAGTCATGAACCCAGGCGCCCGCTATAGGCATCTGCAAACACTGGTTGCCCTGGCAACAAGTGGAAAGAGGTTGGAGAGGAAAGCTGGAGTAGGTTGTTGCATTGAATTGTTTTCAGCTTGTTTCTTCCTCACTAAAGCAGGGAGATGTTGAAAGGTATGATGTCCCTCTTTCTATATGTGTGCTATTTGATGGGTATTTAGGCAGTTGTTGGGAAAGGGAAGGCTAAGCAAAAAAAAATACTTGTAATTCAGCTCGATTGGAGATGAACTTTTCAATACAAATAATAATGTGCAATTCAAATCTCTGCTTTTCCTGTGTGCTTAGTTTTTGTGTGCTGTGTTGTGAGAGTGCTAAATGGATCTCCAGAGTGCAGCACCTGTCCCATCTTCAGCCTGGAGACAGGTGACTGTTGCATATTACATCTTCAGAAGCTAATTTTATTTTGAACTAGGTTTGCAGAGCTAATGTTTGAAAATGTGCCAGGACAGTGCAAGTACTGGGTATTACCAAAAAAATTGTTAACTGATAATAAATCTTCTGAACACCTTCAGAATATGCTGTACTTATATTCTTTTGCTCTTGCACTTGTGCAGAATATTGTGGCTCATGAGTTAGTGGAGTCTTTACCTCCCTGGGGAAAGTTTTTATTAGAAAAACTAGGACATTATGTTCAGGGCTACAACAGCATCTTCCACAAGACAAATATCAGGATAGTCTCTTCAGAATTCTGTTTTAGACAAATAATTTGAGATCCAGTGTTGTGTTTTTTCTTGATTGTGCTTCTCTCTTTTGCCCTTTTCATCTGTAATGAAAAAAGATATAGTAAATATCTCTGCACTGTAATAAAGTATAAATAGTAGAAATTAATATATATGCACCTAGAACAACCAATTTGTGTCATTTTCAACAATTAAAAAAAACCCATTTTTTCATTAACTTTATTTTTAACTTAGAAATAGTGCCCCTCAAGTGACTATTAGAAAAAAAAATTAAATTGTACGGTTCTAAAAGAATAAAGTGTATGACCCAATCAGAGGATAGAGTTCTGTGTTTAACACAGCTGACAGCAAGGGACTGATTAACAGACAGTGGTTCTTGATTTCTCCTGTACTGAAAGATGCAGCCTAATAGAATATTAATAAGTATTGCTTCCAGAAGTGCAGTGGTAGAAATACACACTTCGTGTGCCAGACTCCTGCCCTTTCATTTCTATTTACTTCTACTTGAAAAAGGGCTGACACATAATTTTATTCAAATTAAATCTATTTTTACTACACTATAAAACTGGATCTTCAAACCTAACAAAAATAAATAATGATATGGAAGATGGAGATGCCTGTGAGTATGCTGATAAAGAGCACAGACTGATAGCAGTCTTGTAGCATCTTCCTAGATCTAGGCTGTTCAAAAGAGCTTTTGTCAGTGGGGCATAATCTAGTTAAAGTAAAGCACAGCAAATCAACTTAAGCAATGATATATCTGATAATTAAGCAAAGATTATAATCAGCATAAGCGGTAGAGTTTTGTCATTAAACAATAATGCAAATCAGAGCTCTTACTCTGTATGGTGAGCTAATAAGTCCCTGATGTAATTTAGCAGTTGAATACATACAAAACTGTTCTCAGTTAGCAGTGTAGTTGAGGCTGTAGGGTTTGCAGTTTATTTGTATGTAATATTGAATCTGCTAAATTAAGTAATGGTTTTGTATTCTTAGTTACTAAGTGGATAAGAAAGATTCTGTTCATACTTACCCTAAATACATAAGACTCTGAGTTTGGAGTGTTGAGTAAGTTAAAAAAGGAGGTGATTTCTTAGCTATCTTGTAGGGTAATCTTCTGAAATAATAATTTTAATCCTTCTTTTCTTCACATGTTGATAGATTGTTTCTTGCTATCTTTTGATAAAGAGTCCTATAGCCATTTCAGTGTGGGAGTCTTCTGGGTTTTCCTGCAGCTTATCCTCAGCACCAGAAGTGCAGTGGGATCTGCGCATGTTGGCTTCAGGCCACATTAGGGCTGATCCTTCTTCCTACAGTCTCTTGCACTGTGTCAGCATGTGGTTAAATCATACGTGCCTCTGATAGAAAGGACAGGCAAATACACAAAACAATCCTTCAGATATCCTCTGCTGCTTTAACAGGGAAACAAGGAATTAGGGTTTTTTTTAGTCAAGATTCCTGTAGTTTAAGTACTTCTTTCTGTGTTGTTTTTAAGCTGATTTGGTCTCTATTACAATGTATGTATAGATGCAGCTATGATTTTCCTACTTCCAATACTGGATTTCGAAGTATCTGGAGAGAAATGTGCAGGAGAGTGCTGAGGATGAGCACTGCATTTTTCTGCATTAGATCTTTCCATTTTGTGCTTGATAGTGAGTGGAACATCACAGAACAGAAGCTGCCTGTGATTTGTTCTGTAGTGTGTGACTTCTCCTTTTGGGGAACTATTGAAGAATTCTCTGTAAGCAAACTCATTTTTCCTAAGCGTTATATTGTCTGTCAGCTACAAGTTTAGATGATGGGTTCTTTTCTTTACCAATGAAAATTAGTGGCTGAAAGAACTGACAGCCTGCTTTGGTAAGCCCTAGCAAATGTTATTAATTTAGAAAGTTGCATCTTTCTAACTGCATTGATCTGACTTTTACCAAGCTGTTAAGCTGTAATGTTGACTTATGCATTTTTTGTAAAGGGAACTCTCATACAGGAGAATATTACCATGGTAAATTCCAAGTTCTTATCTACATTGATGGAGAAGTGTTTTCGACACTTGAGGGGGTGGGAGTATTTTTCCAATGAGGAAAAGTGGAAATATATATTCCTTTTTAAGACATCATACTGTCAAAATCCTACATTAATTTAGAGCATGAACATACGAAGGATTTTTTACAGCAAGATTAGACGGTGAATGTACATTGCATCTGTGGGTTTGTGATAGCTGCCTGTGCAGACCTTAGCCTGTGTAAATAGAAGGTGATTTAAATTAGGCTAAGCAGCCTTTCCTTTTTTAAGGATATCTTCGTTTTTATCAGAGACTAAGAGTTGTTTGTGTGTCCATAGCCTGGAAAGGCTAGCTGCTGTTTTCAGCCTGCCCTTCCCAGAAAGGGCATGAGTAGTTCTCATTAGTTCGGTGAAAATTGCTCCTGTTATGTATAATATGCAGCACAGTGTGTAAGAAAACTGGTTTAAAACTCTGCTCTTTTAAAATCAGGTACAGCTGGTACGCAATAAAGAGATTGTACACACAGATTCTGACTTAGAAACATCCCAAGTCTGGAATAGCAGAAGGTGGGAATTTTAGATTAATTTATTTATAGAGGTACAGCAGACTCATCAGTGAAGAGAGGGCATTTAGTATAACTTGATATTGGTTTCATAAAACCCAGACTTGGTCCTGTTGCTGAATGTTCACAGAGATTAATCTCCCTTACCAGTGTCCATGTGGCTGCAGATCCGAGAGGGACCCATCGGTCATGGCTGGCTCCTCATTAAGGGTGATGGATTTTGCTCTGCATGTGGCAGGTGCTGCAACCTTCTCATCTCCAAAGGAGAGTGGACAGTTGGATGCATTTTCCTTGCAGATATGCAGAGATGACAACATACCATGTGCAAAAACTTTTTAAACAGTTTCACTTGGTGGCATCAAGTATGAAAAAGTTGGTATTGCCACCTTAGATTGCCAAAAGTTAATTTCACTCAGTCATGTTACAGTATAAAAATAGAGCAAAGGTTAAAAAAATATTTCTTCAAGTTGGTAAGATAGCAAGAAGATTGAGACTTAAGAGAGAGATCAGGATGTCTCTTAATCTGTGAATTATTTTTTATTAATACAGAGGAAGAAGAGCTTGAAGTGCCTTTGGAGGGGCTTGGATTTCAGCAACAGGAGTCACGACTTTGTCAACAGATGAAAATGGCTACTGTGGCACCATCACCAGAGCCTGTTTGCTGGCAAGTGGAATCAGTAACTAGCACAAATTCAGGACATGTTTGTACCCAAGGTAGGAGCTTTCTATATTTCAGAGAATTCTGAAAGTAGGTAGTTAGCAGTGGATAAGTCTGTAGGGATTGATTGATTGATTGATTGATTGATTGATTGATTGATTGAATAGTTGTGATGTACATTCCTTGGTTTCTCTGCCTGCCTTCCAGTCAAGTATTCCAAAGCTTAGAGGCATTCCTAGCAATGTCCCAGCTTCCTGGGGAAATGCCTTGTTGTCCCTAATGGTTATACTTTTTGGTGCATGATTCACATGCTAAATACCAGGAGAGCAAAGCCAATTAAAAAACCTCCCAATACCAGACTTACCATGCTGTATAGTTTGTGCATCCTTTGAAGCAGAATTTTTCTTTAAATTGAAATCTTACATTGGGCAATATGACAACATTTTGGATTACACTATGGGAATATTTAGCGGAAGGAAACGATTTTTCACAAAACCTGACTCACTCTGAGTAAACATAAAAAACAGCATTACAGCAGTTAATGCTTTCTATCCCTCCTCTGCCTCTTTCTCAAGAGAAGTAGGAATTAGTGTTTTAATAGAAAAAATTTAAAATTTGGTCTTTCAGGCAGGCATAATCTAGATATTCATGTGTGGGATATCTTGCTTTTCTTTACAGTAGAGAGACAGATGATCCTTTGTCTGATCATTGCAACATTTCTGGTTCTCTGCCCTGAAATGAGTGGCTGCCCATGGAGATGGGTCACTGATCTTGATGGAAAGCCATGCCTCACTTCTTGTGGCACTTCTTACCTTCTTGTGTGCAGTTGAGAACATACAATTCAATGTTACATCCCTTAGTAGTTAGTTCTGTGGCTGATTGTTTTCAGGATAGCATCAGGAAGCTGTGTCAGTTCCAGAAAACTGCAAGAGATGGATTTGACTGGACTGAATCTGAAAAAATATATATGAACACCTGCCATTACTATCAGTCTGAGATGTAGACTCTGATGTTTTCATTCCTATAGCTTTGAAAAAGGTAGTTTTGACTCTATGTGCAGCAGCCTTATTAGTAAGAAGTCAAGAAATCTCTTTTAACATAGTCTGTTTTTTATGTAAAAGGAGTGTCTTCTACTGGTTATTGTTGTGTATGTGTTACTGTGTAATGGGATTGTGCTTCAGGAGAGGTCAGATCCTCTTTACTTGGTGACCAAGTTCATGTTGTAAAGACCACAGGCTGAGTCACTTGGAAAGTAAGGAAAATTGGAGTGGAAATTATGCTCACTGCTGTGGCAGGCAGTGCATGAGGACACCAAGGAGGATTTTATGGCAGGATTTGAAGAGAGTAATGGTATAATTTTGATGTGTGTTGCCTTATATTTTTTAAATTGTTGAGGAGTTGCTACCTCAATAATTGGAGGCAATTCTGTGGTGGAGGAAATTGCCTCTTTCTCAAGAGAAGTAGGAATTAGTGTTTTAATAGAAAAAATTTAAAATTTGGTCTTTCAGGCAGGCATAATCTAGATATTCATGTGTGGGATATCTTGCTTTTCTTTACAGTAGAGAGACAGATGATCCTTTGATCATTGCAACATTTCTGGTTCTCTGCCCTGAAATGAGTGGCTGCCCATGGAGATGGGTCACTGATCTTGATGGAAAGCCATGCCTCACTTCTTGTGGCACTTCTTACCTTCTTGTGTGCAGTTGAGAACATACAATTCAATGTTACATCCCTTAGTAGTTAGTTCTGTGGCTGATTGTTTTCAGGATAGCATCAGGAAGCTGTGTCAGTTCCAGAAAACTGCAAGAGATGGATTTGACTGGACTGAATCTGAAAAAATATATATGAACACCTGCCATTACTATCAGTCTGAGATGTAGACTCTGATGTTTTCATTCCTATAGCTTTGAAAAAGGTAGTTTTGACTCTATGTGCAGCAGCCTTATTAGTAAGAAGTCAAGAAATCTCTTTTAACATAGTCTGTTTTTTATGTAAAAGGAGTGTCTTCTACTGGTTATTGTTGTGTATGTGTTACTGTGTAATGGGATTGTGCTTCAGGAGAGGTCAGATCCTCTTTACTTGGTGACCAAGTTCATGTTGTAAAGACCACAGGCTGAGTCACTTGGAAAGTAAGGAAAATTGGAGTGGAAATTATGCTCACTGCTGTGGCAGGCAGTGCATGAGGACACCAAGGAGGATTTTATGGCAGGATTTGAAGAGAGTAATGGTATAATTTTGATGTGTGTTGCCTTATATTTTTTAAATTGTTGAGGAGTTGCTACCTCAATAATTGGAGGCAATTCTGTGGTGGAGGAAATTAAGATTCATAAGTAAAGCCAAGTAGCTTTATTTGTTGCGTTACAGGATGGAGATGCTGTTAAAGAATGCAAAGATAAGATGATTGCATCTGAAATAACAAGTGAGGAAATGGTGTTTGTAGCAGCCACCTAGCTACATGTAGATGGGTCAGTGCTACATTGCTACATGTCATGCTTGGTCAGATTGAGTTTCTGCTGTCCAGTAAGATTTTAAAATTATTTCTGGTTTCCAGTTGTCGTTATAGAATCTCAAGGTGCTTCTTAATTAAAGCAAGGCTTGAAGAAAGGCCTTTTCAGCCAGCCATATGTCTAGCAATGAATTGTTCCCTCTTTGACATCTGAAATCCTAGGTAGCTTCCTAACATGCTTTTCTTATTATTTTCTATTTAGCCTCCAGTTCCAAGCCTGAACTCAGCTCCAGTTCACAGACTTTGGGAACTCAGCAGAACAAGACAGATGGCACCCGAGTAAAAACTCGCATTCTGCCCAACATGCCAAAGCTTTTCATACCTTCATCTGTCACCAAATTTCCACCTGAGATCACTGTCACTCCACCCACTCCCACCCTCCTTTCTCCAAAGGGCAGCATTTCAGAAGAGACCAAGCAAAAATTAAAGGTAATAAAAGGGAAACAGTAATTTTTTAGATTATTGTTTTTATCTTAATTCTCCCCTCAGTAAAAAACTTGTATGAAAGGAGCAACAGTTCCTGTCCCTAGTTCATAACCAGACGTAGAATAAGTAGTAGAAGAAGATGCTAGCTGTTACCAGCAGGAGTCAGTTGTAAAGGACTGGTGAAATAATGGCCATGGGTGAAATCATAGTTATTCTAGTCCTTATTCCTTTTCTGAGGCAAGTAGAATTATAAAAATGGGTGAAGGAGTTAGTGCAGACACTGCAATGCTTAGGTTAGTGGAAACTACCAGAATATTGACAGTGGGGAAGCCCACTGGTAAATGTTATGTTGTTTCACATTAGGATGCCATATCTTTTATAGAAGAGAGCTATTGAATGTCAAGGAATAGCAACCAGTTGGCTTTTATCCCTGTAATCATGGGTTTATCCTGACTATTTAGCAATATATTCTCTCTCTCTCTTTTTGGGATCAGTCTGCTATTTTGTCTGCTCAGTCTGCAGCGAATGTAAAGAAGGAGAGCCTTTGTCAGCCAGCTTTGGAAATCTTAGAGACCTCAAGCCAGGAGTCCTCACTGGAAAGTGATACTGATGAAGATGATGACTACATGGACATATGAGTGAATTCTGGCCATCAACACCAACCATATAACCATTCTTCTTGTTGCCAGCATCTCTGGTAGTTGAAACATCTTCCTTGGCATTGCTCTCCATTTAATCTGCATCATTGTGTTCTTCACTTTCATTACCTTTATCACCACTACCACTTGTATTGCCTTCAAAATCTTCACCATTCTCTCCATCATGGTGCTTGACAGAAAGAATGATTGTTGACCAGGCAGTCAATTAATTTGGACTGTGCTGTCACCTTTAACATCAGTAAACACAAAGGATGTTCTGAGCTGCAATTTGTATTTCTCTACTGTTGCTGCTTCTTCAAACCACAGCCTTGGGAGTCACTCCAGTAGCTCTTTTCTATAGCATTTTCTTCCATTTAGTTGTCTTTTTGCATTTTCCCCACTGCTTAAGTTTTTCAACCAAGAATTCAACAGCCAAATGTCTGTCTAACCATGCCATGATTAGTCCAACGGCTCCTCTTAAGGTGTTTGGAGTAGGAAGAATTGGCTGAGCTGGTAGAGGTTTTAATTGCATCAAGAAAATTTGTGAGTTTGCTATGGGGCAAGAAGGGTGAGCTGGGAGTCTGTCAGCTCTGTGGCACTGCTGGGTGCTTTGTTGGAATGTCACTCAGTGACAAGAACAGTGACAAAGAACCAGCTTTTCCAGGCAGACAGAGAGGTTGGCCTCCTGTTTGTGCTCATTTCACACCAATGTATGAGGTCCAGCAAAAACGATCTACCTGAATGTTGGCTTACAGAACTGATCTTTCCAGAATTGTCTTACAGTCCTATCTCTTCTAATGCATTGGACAAGCATTTTGAATTGGGGGCTAGATGATATTTTTATGGTGGTATTGAAAAAACTTGAAAGATTTCGATACCATTTCAGTAATGTCTGTTTTTTACAGAATGACACGAAAGGTGTTTTTTATCTATCTGCAGAGGGACTGCTTACAGTTATTTATATGAGAAAATAATGGTGACAAACATCCTTTTTTTTTCTACCAAATGGTAACTTTGTAAAATAATGAATGCAAACCTTGCAAAAAAACCCATCACACACTATATATACACACGCGTGCGCCCACACACATATATATGTGTATGTACATATATATGTATGTATATGAAAAATGAAAATGCATACAGCTTGTGATGTCAGATTTCTTTGTGTTTAGGAGAGGTGGTTTTCTGTAAAATGCAGAGCTTTGTATAAACTTTTGGGTTTTTTTCTAATAAAGCTGAAATGTACTGTTGTCTCTATTTGTCTGAGAGGGCATGATGCCATGGTTCTGGAAAAAGTACTACTTCTGCCTTCCTTTTATTTGTTGGGTAAGAAGGTCGTGGAGGAAGAGGGCTGGGGAAAGCCTCTTCCTTTGCTGAAAACTGCCAGAATTGCTCTTTGGATGGGTTTGGTCCTGTGTGACCCAGAACCCAGGTCAGCTGGTGCTGCCAAGATTGTCTGCAAAAGGCTGGGAGATCTCACTGTTGAGTCATGATCTGAATTCTTCTTGACTTGAGTATCTTTGAATGCTGGTGAACAACCTAAGGGGTAAGAAAACACATGGTGAAGAGGATCACATAGAATATTTAACTGTACAAATTAGCATTTAATCGACTACTAGGGTGATCGCTCTCATTCAGCATAAGAATGGTGACATGTTTTCAGTGTTTGCTTTTTAATTTTCTGTAAGTTCTAAATACAGTGTATATCCTGCTGTATAGTCATTGGTAATAGGCTGAGGTAGCTTTAGGTAATCAGGCATGATCTTTGTTGTTTTTTAGGTGGGAGCACAAGAAAAAAGAAATCAGCTTATTATGAGAAATGGAGCACAGCGTGGAGGATATTGTTCTTAATACTGCCCTTTCTCCCAGAAAGAGTAGGCTACATAGACTTTTTGGCTAATGTGTATTCTTAACTGTATGGCTAACTTTTAAGATCACATTTCAATTACTAAGTCTGTGCTTCTAGCATGGACTTGATGTATGAAGACAGAGCATTTGATTTTCTTAATTGAATTTGGTCACTGAAAAAGGCTGCTTTCCTTTATTACTCTTAACTATACCTTGGCAATAGCCATTTTGCTTTTTTTTCCTCCAGAGCTTGCTAACATAGCTGATCCTGAGTTTTCTTTTGACTTCTAATTCTTTTTGAGAAGGATTTCATTCTTTATTGGCTAAAGAAAGCTAGAACAGTAAGTGCAACTGTTCTGTCAGGAAAGAGAGAAGCTGAACTTTGCTGATCTGCTTTAAACTAATCTTAATTGTGCAACTTGTTTTATCCTATATTCAAAACTCTTACTTGTTCTTTAAGTAATTTTATTGGTTAATCTATGACCTTTTATTCCCATTATGCTCTTGGGTAGCTTAAGAAGTTTCTGAGACTAAACTCAAGGCCACCTCCTTCAAATCCTGCCCTTCTGCTAATGACTCAGTAGTGTTGCTCAGCTGTGGGTATTTCTGCTGGTGTGCACTGAAGGAGACATTCTTCTTCTATATGTGTGAAATCAGCTCTCTGTAAGTAAAGCTTATGTAGTTCTTCAGTTCAAGGAACTGGATTCTGGAATGAAGATGCCAAGATTGCTGGATGCATTTGCATACAATGTTTGTCTGAAATCACCATCCCTAAAGGTATTTGGAGGAAGAACTTCAAATCCTTATAAACAGAATTATTCACTTAATATTGCATCTTCTGAAGCCTGGCAATGTAATTTTGTGGGATTTCCAAGGCAATAAGCATTATGGTAAAACTGCAGTTAGCTGTGAGTTTACTTGAAGTAATTTCTTTTATTTCAGTCTAATCCTTGTTGTAATAGCTTGAAATCTGAGTACAGGCAAAGCCCAGTGTACCAATTGTGTATCAAATGGAAGCATTTCAGGATTTGCTGAGTTGCTTCTGAAATCTCCGTGTTGCCAGGCATCTTCCTGGTGTGCCAGATGAATAAATGGCAGCTGCTGAAGGACATTGCTTTTGTATTTTTTGGCTTGTTTTTCCCCTGTGAAGCTAGAGGAACAGGAATATCTGGTGCCTAAAGTAAACTTAAACATAAGATGTGTGTCCAAGTGGCATGAGGAGAGGAGGTTTTTACTACTCATTTTTCCCCCCAGTAATTGCTTAAAAAAGAAATCCATTTTGGCTACTGGAAAACCAAACTGTTAAGACTTGCAGGTAAATAGCAAAAAAGTTTTTGTTCCAAGGGAAATGAAAAAAGAAATTATTTTGAATCAGAGTAATTTGTGGATAGTTGATACACTTCTTGGGTATTACAATGGGGCATTGTTTTTACACAAGGTAAGATATCTTTCACTGATGACCATTGTTAAGGTCTGTAGTACTGGCATTTGTCTGTGTTTAATGCAATTTCATTTCCTGGCACAAGGATTATACTTTTTATGTATAGTTAGGACCATCCAGAATTTCTCTCTCTGAGACAAGGACTAGTGTTTCACTAATAATTCATTTTGTTTGGTGCACCTGTCATTAGTGACTTCTGCCCACTATCAGAAATACTGCTCTTCAAAAGCTAAAAATGTTTCATTCCACAACCAAAATACTGAATCAAGGAAGATACCAAATGTCTAGCTTAACTTTATCATGTATTGGGGTTTGTCAGTTGTTGTCTCTTTGTTCTTTTTTTTTTTTCCAATTAGAAGATTTCCTCCATGAATAATGAAATCAATGCATTTTGCAGCCAAAATGAACACCATATGGTCAGGGAGAAAGGGACCAGGAAAAGATGAGGGAGGCATGGCAGGAGAAGCTGATTAGGAGAAAAAATAGACTGAATGAAAACAGAGTGGCCAGGTAAGGGTAGACTTAAGTCTCACCATCTGGGCTTGAGTTTACAGCATCATTAAATTCAATAGTCTGGTTGGCAGTTGTGTTAATATGGCAAGGAAGGTGAAAAATCTGTGGTGTACATAGCTTGTGTGGACAATGTCGTACACCAACCATAGAACACTTCTGTTCTGCAGGTGGTTGTGATACTTTTTAAGGAAAAAGGTGGCAGGGTAAATGAGCTGGGATGCTCTGAAGAAAAAAACAGTAGACATAAACCTTGTGATCTCTTAGTTATGTGAAGCTGGGTTGAAGAAGCTTTGTTCTTACAGTTGAAGATGATGGCAAGAGCTTCAGTGCAGATGCTGAGTGCTAATTGCCATCTTTCCCTTTCTTCTAGCTGATGACTAGGAATCCACTAATGCTAAACTTTAAAGCATGTGTCAGGAGTTTGGGAGCAACCTTGAAGTACTGTACTACAGACTCTGCAAGCCGGAGCGAGCTTTGTGACAACTTCCCTGGTGGACTCTAAGCTGCTCTTGCTGCAGGGCACAATACAGCAGGTAGCATTGTGATGGGTAACAGACCAGCATCTGAGGTTTGCTGGATTCTGGGGGGTGACTTAGCTTCACTTGAGTGGCTCTTTCACATTAATGCTTAAAGAGACTGCAGGCAGATCGCCCAATTAGAAGATTTCCTCATGAATAATGAAATCAATGCATTTTGCAGCCAAAATGAACACCATATGGTCAGGGAGAAAGGGACCAGGAAAAGATGAGGGAGGCATGGCAGGAGAAGCTGATTAGGAGAAAAAATAGACTGAATGAAAACAGAGTGGCCAGGTAAGGGTAGACTTAAGTCTCACCATCTGGGCTTGAGTTTACAGCATCATTAAATTCAATAGTCTGGTTGGCAGTTGTGTTAATATGGCAAGGAAGGTGAAAAATCTGTGGTGTACATAGCTTGTGTGGACAATGTCGTACACCAACCATAGAACACTTCTGTTCTGCAGGTGGTTGTGATACTTTTTAAGGAAAAAGGTGGCAGGGTAAATGAGCTGGGATGCTCTGAAGAAAAAAACAGTAGACATAAACCTTGTGATCTCTTAGTTATGTGAAGCTGGGTTGAAGAAGCTTTGTTCTTACAGTTGAAGATGATGGCAAGAGCTTCAGTGCAGATGCTGAGTGCTAATTGCCATCTTTCCCTTTCTTCTAGCTGATGACTAGGAATCCACTAATGCTAAACTTTAAAGCATGTGTCAGGAGTTTGGGAGCAACCTTGAAGTACTGTACTACAGACTCTGCAAGCCGGAGCGAGCTTTGTGACAACTTCCCTGGTGGACTCTAAGCTGCTCTTGCTGCAGGGCACAATACAGCAGGTAGCATTGTGATGGGTAACAGACCAGCATCTGAGGTTTGCTGGATTCTGGGGGGTGACTTAGCTTCACTTGAGTGGCTCTTTCACATTAATGCTTAAAGAGACTGCAGGCAGATCGCACCAGAGGTTTAAAGACACATCTCTCCTTGTTCCTGCTGCTGTTTATCAAAAGCTTGAGGCTGACACCCCATCAGCAAATGCTTGTTAGCTGACCCCAGAACCCCTGTTCCACGATCTTCAAAACTTTTCCCAGAGCTCACTGGGCTCTGTGCAGCTTTGCTGTGGTCATGTGGGTATCTCCTTTTGGCCACCCCTGACCCTTAAAAGAGAGTTGTGGCCTTAGACACTATATATGGAATGTGCATGTTTGGTTTCCCCCATACTACCCACCAGCCATCGGTAGCAAGCACCTGAGCTTTAGGAGTTTTTAGGAATTCAGTGCTTGCAGAGGCACCAGTGCAGGCTCAGAATCCAACCTTGCAGCACTTGGATGCAACAGAACAGCAGCTGTGGATGTCAAGGGGCTTTTCTGAATATTAGCTCAAAAATATTATCTATATGAATGGATTTATCCCTAATCAAATGTCATGTGTGAATAAAAATAATGCATGTGTCAGGTCTGGCTGGAGAGCAATCTAAAGGCCGTGGGTGCATCTCTGAATAGCCACGTGTCCCGAGTTCATCCCATGGCATCTGGGAGATTCTGTGTCTGCTTTGATAGCGCTAGAGGGGGCCATAGGACAGAGAAGAAAAAGATAAAAAAAAAGGAGGGGGAAGAAGGGAAAAACCCAGGCCCTACCCCACACCAAACCCCAAAATGGGTGACCAGGACCTATACTTAAAATTCTGAAAGACTGAGGTGCATCGATCTTGCTTACTTCTGAGGGTCTTCTTCTACTGTACCATGTGTCCTTTTCATAATACAGTCTGATTCAAAGCAGAGGGAATGAGAATCCTCACAGTCTGTTTAGAGGGTTCTGTCCTTTGTTCCTGGCTGTAGAAAACAAAGGCAACAAACAGCCATCAAAATACCCCTTATCTTGTTACCATTAATATTGCAACTTGGCAGGGAAACAAATCCACTATATACTTGC